TTTGAACACTAATATTAAACTTAAGGATTTTCTGTTACAATTATAGCCAAATAATGCTCACAGAGAGCCCAAAATTAAATGCTAGGTTAATCTGATATACAATCGATCCATGTGTTATTCCTCAGGTGATGTTTCTGTGTTTGCCACTCACATGACCAATATATTCCCCCTTTGTTAAGCTCCATTGTGAGTAAAGATTTACCTCAAATAAATCTTTAAAGAGAAAAACAATGTGGGAACACATTCTCCTTTCCCATCAGAATAAAGTGAACAAGAGAACAATCCCTCATTTCAGCTTTTAAATAAAATTCTCCCTACTCTACCCCAAAGAGTAGAAACTTCTGCTTCCCTTGTTTTCCTAAGCAACTCTTTGGAAAACATCAATCCCCCTCTAGGCTCTGGGACATTTGCTGATCCTATCAGTTTAGAAACTGCTACATCCACAGGAAAGCAGAGCGCCCAGGATGGTTGTGTCCTTTCTGAAAATGGGGTGAAAACCACAGACACTCTGCTTGCCATTTGGTGCATCACTGAGATTAAATAACCGGCTATTGGGAGCTGAAAGGTGCGTTAGTATTTCACCCTCAAGTTGCTAAAATATAATTTCATGTGTCAACTGCCACTCTTTAAATACTGACTCAAATACTAGAGTAAGTATGGATTAAGGTAAAGTTTACTGGTCTCTGAGAAGAGACCAATCCCTAATTTTGAATTCAACATTCCTAACTTTGAACTCAAATCCTCAGCTCAAAATATGGGGCTGCAAAGTCTCAATTGGATGTAAAGAATATCAGTGATTTCACATTTAGAGGTTGTTGAAATACTTCAGATGTGAAAAGAGACTGGTTTCCTGTGCAACTGGGTGAAATCTTCCTTAGCCATCAAGATGAGGTGGTCAGGCTTTATTAGCTGGCGAGAGAGGAAGCGGGTGGGAGGGTACCACCACTGCGATGACAATACCAGCTGGGAAGCTATGGGAGGTTTGCACCTGCCCCAGGTGAGGACCAGAAAAGGAATTTCCCTTATTTGGCCAGAAGAATGAATCTAAGTGTCTACTAGTTAATTAGGCAATTAGTATAAAGGGCTGGTATAGACCAAACAGCTCCGGGGGGTGGGGGAAGTTCTTAGAGCCAGGATAAGCAGGGTGTGCTTTCTTCAGGAAGGTACAAGAGGAGGACTAAAAAGGAAAAGTTGGGTCTTCATAATGATGCATACTTAGTCTCAAGCAGTATGAAAAATAATTTTGTATTCTGATAAATAAATGAACTAGTCACTTTTAATCCATTCGGGTAATGTAATAAAGGGCAAAGAGGAACACATCCATTAAAAGAAACACACAGCAGACAATCTTTCTTCTGAAGTGAACCATGCACTAAGCTTAAAGCTCCTCTGCCCCATTCATCCTCTTGACCTAACCCCCCTGACCTCTTGGAAACCTAATACATTTCCTATTTCACTCATGCTCACACCCCGGAAGACTGTTTTTGTTTTAATTTTAATATAGTACGTAGTATTTCCTTACTTTTCTATCAATCAGAAAGCCACTATATTATAATGCCCACAGAATGAGTAGTATCTCTTCTTTTGGTATGGGTGGAACTTAATATCAAAATCGAAAACACAAAAGAGAGCTTACTTTTCACAAGGTAAATGTCAAGTGAACATGGGAAAAAACAGTTTGCAAAATGTAAAGTGCAATACCAATTAAGGGATTATTGCAATTTAATTGTTTTCTTTAAGTGTTTATTTTTAATAGAAAATAAAATACAGCCTTCAAGAAGAAATTCTTACTTTAGGCTCATTCATAGATTATGTTTTATTTTAGAACTAGAAAAATATAAAAACTGAATACTTAAATAAAAATAATAAACTCCTATTGTTTTAACCCATCTTGTTTGGATTTTACATTTTTTGCAGAAATTCTAAATTATGTAGCAAACTTGTTTTCTTTGTGTGACTTCTGCTTGACGTCTAAGTCACAATGAATGGTTTTAGGTATCAGTTTCTTAGAGGTACTTGATTTGCTAAGAGATAAATCATTAAACCAAATATTAACCAACTTACCATCATGTATGGAGAGTAGACAGTCCGTTACATTGTTTCAAAATTACAATTTCAACCCCTTCCTCCCCCACACAATTCAGTCCTCAATGAGGGGAAGAAAACAGAGAGGCTCTACTTAACTCAAGTTAATTCTGTTTAATACCATATATTTTATCAAAATGTTTAATTTGGAGGGGATAATTTAGTTTAAAGATAGCTGCTGAGACAAACTACATGGGTTCAAAAAGTTGATAGTGAAAATGTTGAGCGCCAGTGAGACTTAGATGAAAGCCAATAGGATTGGCCATCTTATGGAGATTGAGAATGCTATAAATTTAAATCTTTGAAATACTTGCTGAGATTTATTCAGGCAGACAAACAAAGATAACAAAAGTCTTTTGTGTGTTTGTCAGTCATTTCCACTTCTCTGTTGTTGTGGTGTCAAATAATGTCAGTTATTTAAGGGCAATTACTGTAATTTTAAATTTTCAACAAATTAAACTATAAAGACTAGAAGTCCAAGAAGGACCCTACTCATTTTTCCACTACATTCATTTTCCCTCTTTCATTTTTAAAGATAAGTTTTAATTGCTTGAATGTTTAGAGAGGAAAAAAGAACAATATTTTTGTCTATTGGTGCCTTAAAAAAAACTACCCATGTTTGGCTATTTCTTTTTCATTGAGCTGTGTTTTATAAAATGTTTCCAATGACACTGAGCTGTTATAGATTAGCAAGTGAAATAATTTTTAATTAAACTTCATTCACTTTTTTATATTGGAATAGCTATATTTTTAGCCTGCTCTTATATTCTGTATATACAATTTAATGAACTTAGGTTAGGGTCTAGAAAAAAATGGTCAGGGAAGCAAAATAGATATTGAGATGAGTGAGAAAAATATGCATTTAAATTGTATCTGATAATAGAATGTTCTGCCAATAAAAATCTTTAAAATGAAATGTAAGCATAATTAATTTGAGTGGGATCATTAAGGTAGTTTCATAAAATAATTTAAGGTGAAGCAGGAAAATAATTACCTCCCATCATCTTTAAGCTATGTTGACAAAGTTTAAATGTTACATAATTTAATAGGAAGGATTCAATACATTTTATATTTCATGAAATCTTTTTTTAAGATTTAGAGCAGCATCTAGGATTTCTTTGCAGTAATAAAGACAATGATCCATTATGTTCTTCTATTACTAATTATTCTGTAAAGATTGTCTGTTCCAAAAGATAATTAGAAAGGGTGAAATTTAATTCCATTAAACAGAACTCAGCTGGGACATAATGAAATTTTGCTGTGAAGTTGAAGACTTTGAAGCCAAATAAAAAGCTTTTACTTAGATAGAGAAAATGAGATTATAAAACTCACACCTTATTCATTCAGGGCACATTTAAGACAAACTAGGACAGGATTATGTTTACTCCTAATGAGGTTTAAGTGTTTAGTTAGTACAAACATCATAAAGTATGTTTCCTCTCTGTCCTTTAAATGAGAATTTTCCCAATTAAGGTACTTCCAGATTCTAGGTTTGCTCGCTCCTTTATTTAACAATAATATCTACTCTGCACCCAACTCTAGATAAGGTACTGACGGTGCCCATATTAATAGGAAGGCAGTGCTGCTCTGAGGACTTCACTGTCTAGTCTTCTGTGATGATCAACCGAGTCTATTTCACGTTCAGCACGAAAACTTGAGCTTGACAGTGTTTTAAGCACTTGCTTTGTATGGCTGAGGAGTCTGCACAGCTGGAGAGGACTCAGCCCCTGCTCTCACAGAGCTTCTCATCCAGCAGAGGCAGACGTGTGCACTTGGGACTGCAACAAAGTTCTGACAGAGTTGCAAAGGTCTTAGATTCCTTCCTGAACCCTTGTCTATCATCTTTACTCACCCTTTCATCATGCCCCCTATAACGTCCTTAGCTCTTAATGTTTTTCCTGTGTACTGGAGGCAGCACGTGGGAAAGGTTGATTGTGTTCACCTCTGCATTCTTTATATTACCTGCCTTGGACATATTAGGTGCTCAGGGAGTGACTAAGACAGTGAATAATGACAGGCTGCTGGTGAGAACTAGCTCTCTCAGTGAAGACAATGACCACTCTAAACCATGACTATGTGAAAACACAGAGCTCTAAGGATTTCATTTTTCAAATGGAAATAGTATTGAACCAATGTTAATTTTGTCATTTTGGCAATTGTACTGTGATTATGTAAGTTAATAATGGATGGTGGATGAGGAGTATATAGGAATTCTCTATACTGCTTTTACAACTCTCCTATAAATCTAATTATTTAAAAATAAAAAGTTAAAAGCAAAACAAATAAACAATTCAAAGGCAAAGAACAAATTGAGGAATATATTTAATATAGTTGGAAGAAAAATTGATAGACTTACTACAAATGGGAATTTTAAGCCCATTGAAAGGGGGGAAATGATAAATAAACAATTTATGAGAAATTCTTATTATATAGGAATGATCAACCTCACTAAGCATCAAAGACATAAAAAATAAAGCCATGTCCCTCTTTTTTCTGCCTATTAATTAATAAAGATTAAAGATATAATATTTAAAGGCACTTCTTTGAGGTTATAAAAAGAATAGATACTCTCATATTCTCATTAGTATTTAAGTCAACCTAGTTTTTTGTGGGTAACTTACCAACACATAAGTGAAACTTCAACAGTACACGAATCTCTGCTGCAGAAGGCCCACCTTGTATTACAGGATTGACTATAGATTTAAAAATCTTTTTCTCCTTCTGTCTGATTTCTTATTTAACCTGTGAGCATGTGTTACCTTTAATATTAGGTTTTTAAAAGGTATTTATTTGAAAATAGATAATGACACACAATGGAAATTGCAAAGACAGAAAAATAATGTTGGAAAAGAAGGTTTAATGGCATAGAGAGATTCTTATTTTTTAAGTAAAACACTAGTTTTAAAATGTCACATACATTTACCTGGCAGGGGAGGTACCACGATCACGAGGGTGGTTTTCCCAGGGCCAGCTTCACCCGTCGCACCGCGGATGTGCTGCCCCCCGCGATGTCCCCACGTGTGGGAATCCTGACTGCATAATTGGTGGTAGTGGGGGACTGTGTTCACTCTCTCCCCTGGGGAAAATATCACTTATAACATGGTCTATTTCTATATAAAACATACTATACATTTTACAAAGGGAGTTTATGTACCAAAATTTTAACTGTGCTTATTTTTTTGTGAAGTAGGATTTCATGGTTTTCTTCATCCGAACTTTCTCAATTTTCTATAGCATACATGTGCATACACTGCTTTTTGTATTAAGTTTTTCCCGTAAATACATGGAAAGTGGTCTAAGAAAATGACAGTATATCTCAATCAGTCCCAGTTACTTACCGTCAAAACCATTTATGGAAAGCCTCTCTGTACGCACTGCCCTGCTTGTCTTCAAGTTTTTGGCGCCGTCAGCCTGCGCGTTTGAGAACAGCGGCTTGGGCCAGCTGTTCTTAAAATGACATCTTTGATCTGGGCCACGGCCGTAGGGATCAGACTTTGAATTGATGTTGCTTATGGTTAGGAAAAAAGAAATCTTTTCAGCGCTATTTTTATTGACATAAAGAGGACTTTAAATTGATAATGTGCAAGGGATCCGCAGCAGGCGTCATGGAAAGGGGGACCCCTGGTTCATTTGTTAGAAACAGTTTGAGAAACATTGCCCAGTCACCGATGGTACGAGAACTCAGTCCTGTGTTGATGCAATTCAAAGCCAGATCAATTCATTTGGACAGGGGGAAACATTCCACAAGAAAGCTCATTTGCTAAAAATGCAGGTTCGAGTATCTGTTTTGGAATCTTGCTGGCATCTCTGACTTCTACTCTGGCCTCAGAATCCCTCAGGATAGAAGTCAAAAAAGCAGGTATTTGTGGAAGGATATTTTAAGACTGGCTGGCTCATACATGGCTAATTAATACCTGTTTGGATTTTATTAAATCCCCATTTCCTTCTGAATTATATCCAGCCTTTTTCTCTAGCCCCTAAAAATTTTAAATTACTGTATAGAAAACAAAAAGTGAAGTTGAGGGCTTTAATTACATCTTACTTCTGCAGTGGTGTTTGAAAATAGTGTGTTTACCTCTTTTCTTACACAGTCACTTAAGTTGTTCATGCATTGTCAGCTGGGCAAAATGTGTACAAACCCAGGCCCAAACCCACAACCTCAAACAGGAAAAAGATTCCCTGGGGAAAGATGATATTCACATTGCATAAGTGACACTGAAGCAAAGTCGGTTCATTTAGGTGGAAAACATAAACCAAACCCTGAGAACAGATTAATGGCAAAGGTGCATTTCAGAAGCAAGGACAAATGCTATGTGCTGAGTATCCACATCTGCAATGGGGCCACTGGTCCTGAGTTTTCTCCCACGAGCAGCTGAGTGACACCAGACCCCTTGTCCCTTTCCTCACTTCCTGCCTATTGCAGGGTGAAGAGAAACAGGAGGGTTTTGAGAGCAGTCACAACTGCGTTTGAAACCTCTCCCCATTAACCATGGGACCTCGGGCAAGTTAGTAAATCCTTTTGGTCCTGTGTCCTTGTCTGTAGCATTAGAAAAAGTAATAAATCCCTCACAGGTTGTTGGGAGGATTCGTTGTGGTGATACGTAAAATGCCAGGCACCTTTGAAATCGTAATGCTTGTCGTCAAAACCTTTACACTCATGGACTGACTCTCCATCTGAAAATATGGTTCCTGACACTGTGTCCTGAAATATTTAGAAGGAACAAGTGCAGAGCTGGGGTAAGAGATTTCTTTCTCTATTACAGAAGGAGAAAGAGACACCTGACCATATAAACAGTGTTGGCAGCATGAACACAACATTCTAATGATCAAGTATTGTCTGACTAGAGATATGGAAAATTCTTGAGCAAATGAATTATTAACACTGAAATTTGACTTACCTCTGTGTTCCATTGCCTTAAATCCATTTTGGAAATAGGCAGCACTTAAATAAATAAACAGTCAACTCTTCCCTGGATGTTTGGGTGAAAGCAGGTGGCGATTGAGAAGACATGGGTCAACAATGTGAGTGTGCGTTAAAAACAAATGTCTTACGAGGTAATTAACTTGAGCAGTGAGTACGGGTCTCTCTTGAATAGACAAACACCTACGTCGTCTGGGTGTCTGATCTGGGGTTCTCTTTGTTCTGTTTCCAACATTAGGATAAGGTGTAAAACACAGTCTTCCTGGGTCGGCTACTCTCTCTGTCCTTCCCTTCCCCATTTTCCTTTCCATCCCCTCACTGAGCAGGGGGATTTTCTTTCACTTGACTAGTCCTCCAGGCACGGTCTTTGCTCTCCCCCGCTTTTACTTGCCCCCAGCTTCAAACTGGCTCTCACATTACCTTGCTCCAAATCTTCACCATTATTAGGCGTTCAGTGGCATCTTCTGTTGGAAAAGGCCAGAGCATCTGATGTGACCCACATGCCTTCCCTGTCTGCTCGCCACACCAGTTTTACATATGCCCTTCCCAACTGGTTCTTTGGAGGGACTGTTGAGAGCACTGCCTTTCTCTCCTTAGCATCACTAATGGAACATTAAAGTTGAGCTCAAAAGTTATATTTGGATGACTGTGTTGAGGTGAAACTTTCTTCCTCGTGCAGTCTGCTCTGTGTGGCCACATCATTACAGAGCTCCAGGCATCCTGTATTGTAGTAAGCTGTGCCTTCCTCCAGAGTAGTGCTGGATTATCCACAGGCAAATTAAGTATACACTGAGGGCTCTGCAAAGCAGAGGCGTTAAACAAAACAAACTACTAAAAACACCAACACCAAAAACAAACAAACAACTACAAAACAGAAACAGCAATTAGAAGTTCTGGAAAGAAGCAATTTTAATTTAGAGCACTTCACTTTCGTGTCTTCAAAACATTTAAATTGTAGTTTGAATTACACGTGTGAAGGGAACACCGCAACCTACCAGGATTTAGAACCTACTCAAGTTATCCTCTGTGTCTGCACTTGATGCGGGATTGCTAAGTGAGGGCTCTGCCAGTCCTCTGCAACCTTACTCAAAATCAAGTGCTTGTGCATGGGGACATTTTTAAGGGGTGAAATCCCAAGGACTCTGGGAGCCTGAATAGTTTAAGAAACCCTGCTCTCCTGAGCTAGAGGACGAAGCTGTGTTTGCTTTCTCTTTGTGCATCTGGGGTGGGGGAGGTGTTCTTCAGAGCTGGCATACAATTCTGGTAGATATGCAATGGGTCTTTCTCAGTACTAAGGTTTATTAATTTTTGACACTTTTTATGTTTCATAGAGAAGTTATTTAATATTTGGTCTCTAATACACACACACACACACACACACACACACACACACACACACACACACACTTACTTCTTTTTAAGTTATTAAATGCTTCCTAACACTTAGAAAGCTTAGAAAAGCCTAGCATCAGACTTGGTCAAAAGGTGATTTGCTGTGTTTTAATATTAGGGTTTGCTACATCTCAGGTTAGAACTGTTTTTAGGTACTGCATCTTCTCATTTGTCCATTTAAAATCAACCTGTTATTGTTTTGTGTACTTTTAAACATGGCAGGTGTTGCTTAAAGCTAAAATAAAACCAGATAACTTTGTTCCCATTTATCAGATATTCTTCAATATCCACGTGTGCTAGAGCCCTGGGAAACCTGTTAAATATGTGGAGTTCAGAGCCTCACCCACAGAGAGCAAGATAACTGCTCTGGAGTCTGAATTTTTAACAAGGACCTCAGTTGACTCTGAGAATACTTTGATTTTGAAAAGCACTGCTTTACATTGGTTTACTCTCTCCATTATTATTTATTGAAATTTGAATGTAAATCTAGGTGGAAAATGAGCATGTATAATTCTGAAAACTTTCCCTGGAGTCTGCATTTCCACGAGGTGAAGCAAATGTGGAAAACTGCTCTAGGGGAAAAGCAACCAGCTCTGTTCGGGACTGGTGCTGTTTCCTTTGGCTTGGTTTTGAACATGTGGGTAATTCTCTAAACTAGTCAGTGGAAACCTAAGTGGCACTGTGGAAACATTTCTGGCTTTATTATCTACTTTACCTGTGGTGCCACTGCACAGTCAATTTTAATGCTGAAATTTGGAAGACGCACAACCAGTGGGTTCCTGAGGATGATGACAGAGGTTATGGCACTCGGTCACTCTTTGTGTGAGTTTGTTTGTTTGTTTTTAATTCGGGCAGCTCCCTTCTAAGTGTGTTACAGCTCTGGCCTGTTGCTGAAGATCAACATGTTGATAGTACACAGCCTTTCTTCTCATACACACTCCCAACAAAGGGGAGGGGACTGTGCTTGGTCTTGTTTTGTTTGCTTTAAGAACATTCATCAGGTACTTGCATGTGATAATTGTGGCTAGCTGATTTCGCATACGCTTCATGTGGTTCTTTCAACAACTGCAAACCATGGCTGTTGTTACATCCTATGACATATTATGGTGATGATAACAATAATGGTGCCCCATTCCTCTCAAGAACTGCAGCCCGATGCGCTGCACAGCTCTCCCCTTATCTCCTCCTTGAGCAGCTCAAAGGTGAGCACCATTTTTCATTGCAATGAGAATAATAATCACATTAACATTTTAAAAATATATTTTATTGATTATGCGGTTAGAGTTGTCCCATTTCTGCCTCTTCATTCCCTTCCACCCTGCACACCCCCTCCCACCCACATTCCCCATTTAGTCCATGTCCATGTGTCATAAGTTCTTTAGCTTCTACATTTCCCATACTATTCTTGCCCTCCCCCTACTTCTTCCACACTGTCTATGCTATTTATTCTCTGAACCTTCTCCCCCTCTCTCTTCCTCCCACTCCCCTGTTGCTAACCCTCCATGTGATCTCCATTCTGTAGTTCTGTTTCTGTTCTAGTTTTCTGCTTAGTTTGCTTTTGTTTTAGGTGTGGTTGTTAATAACTGTGAGTTTGCTGTCCTTTCACTGTTCATATTTTTCATCTTCTTTTTTTTAGGTAAGCCCCTTTAACATTTCATATAATAAGGGCTTGATGATGATGAACTCCTTGAACTTGACCTTATCTGAGAAGCACTTTATCTGCCCTTCCATTCTAAATGAAAGCTTTGCTGGATAGAGCAATCTGG